CTCACATTCAATAGGCTTCTTCTTTTCACTAATTTAAATGATGCATATCAATTTCAAACAGATCAGATAACTGTTGTCATTAGAGCATTCACAACATTCAACAAAGTGAAACAAGGACCATAACTCTAGATGTAATTAATGGAAATTGCTGAAATTCAAAAGGCTTCTTTGTTTTACTAATTTAAATGATGCATATAAATTTTATAAATAGGCTTCTTCATCTCACTAATGCAAACAATTCAAAGGCTGAAATGCTGAAATTCAAAAGGCTTCTTTGTTTTACTAATTTAAATGATGCATATAAATTTTATAAATAGGCTTCTTCATCTCACTAATGCAAACAACATATATCAATTTCCAAACAATCAGATGATAAATGTAGTCTGTAGAGTGTTCCCAAGAAATTGTGGACGATGGACGGACGGACGGACGGACGGACGGGGGCGACGGCAATATACGACCACATTTCCATGTGGGCATATAAAAATATTTTTTTATAAAGAAGATAAATAATCCTGGGACATCACAAACTATTCATTTTCTGTCGAATAAATATTGAGGAATGAATGAACTTTAAGCTTTCATTTTCTATCGACCCTATTGTATAAACCACCAGCGGTTGCCAGGCAAGATACTCCCATATTTTGTAAGAGATGGATAGAGAACAAGCTAAAAAAAAAAAAGAAGCAATTTCTCATACAATCAGGGGCCATAATCCAGAATATAAGGTCTGAAAGAAATGCCCGAATATTGAAATGAACTGAGATATTTGGGATTTAAAGATATATATTAAGTTTCATCAAAGTATTACATACTTTTAAACTATTTGCGTAGAAGGAGCGGCCATTTTGTCAGGCAGTTTTGATCTGATTTTCATGAAATTCGAACTCAACTGTCATTAGGGTGTAACGTAAACGGTGATACATTTAAACGCTTTTTAAAATCAGGTCAACAAGCTAAAAACACAATTTTTTTGTACAATCAGAGGCCATAATCCAGGAAGTTACGGTCCGATATGTGCAAATATCGAAAGGAACCAAGATCTTTGGATTATAATCAAACATTTCAAGTTTCATTGAAATCGAATAAAAATTGTGACTTCTAGTTCTAGAGTGTCCACAAATGTTGGTTACAGATTTTTACGAAATTTGAACTCAACCTTCACTGACGTGTAACAGTGATATATTTAAAAAAAAATTTAAAATTGAATACAATTTGTGAATTGTGACTTCTAGCGGGTCCACGAACCAAAAATGTGACTTTTCGAATGCCAGGGGCCATAATCCAGAAAGTTACGTTCTGATATGTGCGATTATGGAAAAGACCAAGATCTTTGATTGTGTTGATTGCACAATTGTGACCGCGTATATCAAAGTGAATCCGAATACGCAAATTCTAATTTTGGACTAAAGACAAAATAAGTGAAAATATTGATTTTGGATCGAAATTGAGATTTTCCCAAAAATGAGTCTATAATGAGTCTATCGACACAAAAGATCAAAATAGCAATAAAAGATTTGAGAACATTGGCATTGTTGTAAAGCGGAGAATCTCTAGTTTACAAATATGATCAAATTAATGTCGATGAATTGATTTTGAACGGATACAATCGTGTTTTAAAACCCATAAAAAATATAAACCACCTCCGCTTGTTGCTGTGCTGTCTACACAACTCGTTTGCTGATTGGCCCAGACACCGAGTGAAAAGCATTATGGTTACGTGGCTGACTCGAGCGGGTGATAAATATTTGGTTTTGGCAATAATGTTTTTGGGTACCTACATGCGATTCACTCTCATAAGTGGCAGAAAAAAATTAATTCTGATCGTATATAGATTGCCGTTGAGTGTTAATTCAAACCACATGGCTGATTATGTCAATTAATCAACATGCGGGTGGGGTGTCATTGAGTAATACTAATCAACTGTCACAGGTCAATGATAAAGCCGTCGACAACTCCTTATTTACTTCGAATAATTAATCCAAACAGTGATTATCTGATATCTCATATCATCTTTAAAAAAATAATTTATAGGCCTTAAATGGAAAAAAAAAAAAAATGGCCAATAATTTTCTTTTCGAAGAAAATTTTATTGATAGATGAGATCACAATTTTGATCCGATTTTGATGGAACTTATAATACATGGTTATATCCCAAAGATCTTGGTTTCTTTTCGATATTCATGCAAAGTGGACCGTAACTTCAGAATTATGGCCCCTGATTGTAAGAAAAATCGCGTTTTTAGATTGTGGTCCCTCTAGAGCTCACGATTATTTTTTGATTTAAAAAAACTGTTTGAATATATCACCGTTACACCCTAATGACGTTTTAATTTGAATTTCTTGAAAATCAGACAAAAACTGCTGGACAAAATGGCCACCCCTCATACGCAAATAGTGTAAAAAATATGGTATATCAAAGTTGTGGACCTTGGTTCCTTTTGATAATCACCCATATCCAAACGTAACATCCAGGATTATGGCCCCTGATTGTTAAAAAAAACACATTTTTAGCTTGTGGACCTGCTAGAAGTCACAATTTGTATTTAATTTTAAAAACCGTTTAAATATATCACTGTTAAACATCAATGAAGTTTGAATTCGAATTTCGTGGAAATGGAACTGTAACTGCCCGACAAAATAGCCGCCCCTCGTACGCAAATTGTGTGCAAGTATTTAATACGAAGGTTGTGGAGTCCTAGAGGTCACAATTGTTGTCCGATTTTGATGAAACTTAAAATATATCTTTATATCCCAAAGATCTCAGTCCCTTTCGATATTTGCACATTTCAGATCATAACTTTGTGGATTATGGCCCCCTGATTGTATGAAAAATCGTGGGGTTTTTTTTTTTTTTTTTTTTTTTTTAGCTTGTTCTCTATCCATCTCTTTCAAAATGTGAGCTTCTCCTGCCTGGCAGCCGCTGGTATGATACCATGGACCCTATAAATAAGGTCCTTGGTAATACAATGTATTTAAAATCTTTATACATGTATTCCATAAATTGTTGTATTTACACAGACTTCCGACTGCCATCCTAATATATTGTAGTTTAATTTTCTAAATAAGACATTGTTCCTGACCATGTTTAATGGTTTATTACTTTATGTACATTATATGAATTGTAAAAATTTTAGTACAAACAGTACTTAATCTTACTTGCATTATTTTGGGAGATGTTTTATAATATATGTTTTAGACATAACTATAGAAACAGTTGATGCATGGATTGAACAAGAGAAAGCAGAATCCAACTTTATCATAGGGCAACATTTAACAAATTAAATATAGTAATTATCAAATTGTTAACATTAATTCTAACTCTCATCACTTTCACTTTATCATATATATAACAGCATAATATACTGTTTAAATATAATGGTCGTACACAACTCTTTGGATTATTTTATTTGCAAAATAAAGTCTGATTTCTGAAATAGATATTATAGGTAAAATTAATTATATTTATGATATGTTCGTTAAAAAAGTATTAACATTAGTGTTACTTTGCTCTTATTTTTTTAACAAATTTTCACAAGTTGATTTCCTTTATTTTGTTAATGTAGAATGGTAATGAACTGCTCTTTTCATTTCCTTTGTTTTATTTGTTTCGTTTGAATTTGATTTATCAGTTTAGTTTTTGATTGTTTAATTTTTGTTAATGAAGTTGATTTTATTTTTGAACTCTACTTGGTGTAGGTGTTCATCAGGTAATACCTTGACTGAGTTCAATATAGAGATTAGCCGGTTGATTTGTTGGATATAAACCTTTGAATAATAGCGCCTAACAGGCAGCTGTGTTTAATTATGTTCTCCTGATTTTGATTGTTTTTGTGTGTTTTAAGTATATGTTTGTGATATGCGCTTAGAAACACTTCACGTGTAATGAAGCGCTATATAAATCGAACAATAATAATAATAATAATAATTCACTTTACTGTCGCTTCTTGATACGGTATGCAGAGTAAGGAATGCATCTTGGATATTATTGTTTAAAATTCTCTTATCACCATGGCTCGAAAAAATGAGAACGACCAACGAGCCGAATTGCGACGATTCTCGAGTCTGCCATTGTTTAATAGCATCAAAGTGAACATAAGTATTTCTTGACTATGAAATTGACATTTCTCTAGGGACTCATATTTTGATTCCGTTACGGTACCTGAAAATAATAATAGACCTATCATACACCAAAATCTTATTTTAATTCACATGTTAAATGAACACGCGTACAGCTGTGGCGGCTTCTTTGATGATTATCCAATCAACAATCTTCATCTCCTGACCACTAGCTGGCACTAGTGTGCTAATTAATTGATGAGATTAACTGTTAATCTAACCAACGTTATAATATACATTACAAAACAGACTACTAATATATAGATTATTCTTCAGTGTAATTAACACTATCATGTGAATATGCCGCATGTGTTATGGATGTTTCGTCACGAAAGGAGTGCATTTACTATGATTTTCGTCGTCAGCACCCTTGAAATCCTAAATAAAAAAAATATTAAACGACAAAATAGCAAATAAATGGCGGAAATCGTCGGATCAAATTTTAACTACGATATTCGTCTTCAGCACCCATGAAAACCAAGGGAAAGATATATATAAGGGAAAGATATATTCAACAACAAAACAGCAAATAAATGGCCTGGTTGCTATGGGATTTTGTTTTGGAACATACCAAATCTTTGTCTTGGTTTTTCTCAAAACTTATTTTTGTGATTTGGGTAGCTTCGAATGGACAGAGCTCAGTCAATTTTTGCCTGTTTCAAACAAACTATACATCAAATTGAAGGTAACGAGTTGGCGAATGTGAAAATAACAATAACTCAATTTTTAAAATTTCTTCACTGCGACTCAGTATGCCAACAATTATTGTTGTCCGATTTTATAGACTGATTTTATAGTGGAAGCCAAGATGACAGAAATTTAACCCGAGAATTTGGCCTACAGGTTTGAAAAGAGATATGAGTTCTTGTAAAAAAAGGTACCTTTAACAGATAAAGTAGAAAGTCACCTGCTAGTCCACCAGCTTGTAAATCTTTTACCAAATTACATAATGATTCCACTTTTATATCTTCACTGGTACTCTTTAACCTTGAATAAAAATATTTAGAGTGACAGTTTAAGGAAAATAAACAGATATAGATTGTTTAGACCTTTTTTGGTGATCATATACTTGGAGAGAGCCAACCTTCGGTGCATGCAGGGATGTTATTATATAGTAGCCGACAACCGGCAAATTTTGCTAATATTTGGGACCTAGAAACTGACACAAATGGGTCGCAACGCATACAATAATGTAATATGAATGTATATAAACTGACTAACATTCAATCTTTTCCGTTTTTACTCTAATTTCATATCAGTTATGTTCAGTGAAATACGCCAGAAGCTGCAATTTAATGGCAATCTCTAGAGCCTGGTTCTTCCAGTCTACAGCGAGGTATTTATTGCGCATGCTCTCTAGATAAGAATATGGGGTCACCATTTGACATGACTTGTGGAAAATGTTTAGCCTCGTTCCTCGAGTCCCTTGTTACAAATGGCGCTGAAACGCATTATGGTGCACGATTAAAAAGCAGAAAAATAATAATTAAATATGCCATACTATTGGCTACAAAAACTGCATGTGCATATCTACCAAGTACCGATCCTGCAACAGTACGTCGATGGCCCAGCTATACGTTTACCCCACTAAATGTGTATTTTCTTTCATTCTTAATGTCAACTGCCTAATTTGAATTATTATTGTATACATGCATTCTAGTTTTAAGAACAGGTCCACGAGAGGACCATGCAAAAATTGAAAAAAAAAAAACCCTTATAAACCTGGGGGTCAGCAATTTTCAATCATACTTGGTCTATGGGAACCCCTAGGCGACAGAAGTCACACGATGCAGTGAAATTTTTTTGAAATGACAACTTCCGGTATAACTGGAAATTGTTGTTTTGGTCAAAATTTGTCATATTTGGACCAATTTTTTACCCTTATTCCAAAATGCTCTTACTCGAAATCTTGTGAGTTGTGACCCTAAAATTTTGATATTGGTCAGGTGTGATAGGCCAAGTGGTCGATTTAAAATTCACCCTTCGTTTGGGAATGTATGAATCGTGTGGAATTTTCTGTGAGTTATTAAATTGGTCATTTTACACATGTTGAAAACTATGTCATCCTAAACCTTGTAGCTGCTTCTTGGCGGATCTGACATAGAATTGCTTGGTGTGGTTATGAAGGGCATTTGTCCAAGTATATGCCAGAAGAAAAAAAAACTGACCAGCTCTAAACCCACTAGTGTGCTACAATCTTCTGAAAATGTGTAAAGATAGGTTGCCAGGTAATGAAACATGCTCACAGCAGCTAAGTCGTCCAGACGGTCAACAAGGGTTGTCACATATTTTTTCTTTTGTCAGTAATCTAATTACGAGTAATAACCCATTAAAGATACATTATGTAAGTTTTTGTTAAAGAGCTGGCCATTCTTACTATAACAGTTCAAAAATAGATGATGAAAAAAGAAAATTTTGAAAATTTCAGTAAAACTACTTTATTTTGGACCATATTATCAGTGTTGGAAGTTTGGACTTGAAATAGGCATCAACTGACCCGCACCTCCAAGAATTGCTGATCGTTTGATTGACAGATGTTAACTCCGCTTACATTTCTCAATTGTCAAGTATCATTATCTATGATTACGGTACCGTTATCAGGTTTGAGACAGAGGATGCAATTCAATTCGTATTACTTTTATTGTTTACCACAAATAAGACTTTTAATATAAAAATAAGAATAGAAATGTCTGCAATAGGATTTCACAGTTTGAAAAAAATGGGCTGTAAATAATTATAGTAGGGTGACCCACCATAAATAAATATCTCCATATATCTCGACAATTACGCCACAATATTTATATATATGCCAAGCCTCAAATCAGTTTCACACAATTATAGTCACTAAATAAACGATCATGTTGTACTTAATAAGCTATGACCATTAATCATCTATAAATAATAGACTGAAAACTGGTTCCAAGTGTCGTCCATTACATCCAGACACTTTTGAGTAAAAGATAGGTTACGTGCCCTTGTTTTGAAATTAGTCTCGCTTAACCAGTCTATCGACCATTCTACGTCTGATTGACAGGTCGGGATAATCAAGACTACTTTTTTACGAAACATAACAGAAAGCTAGAACAAGAAATTGAATTTAGAAATAAGCACGTTAGGTAGCTCAACAATCGTTTTAAGAACCTTGTAAAAGTAAAATGAAACTACTGCAAGTATCATGTTCCTGTCTAATCCGAGTGATTCAGAGATATTATTTGTACTAAACCAAAAGATGCCGCTCTTAACGGTACAGTTAATGATAAAGCGATTTAAAAAATGAAACGAACGTAATTTCTAAATCTGCTGTAATAACCAAGAAGCTTAATTTCACTGCTATTCAAAATCGTCAACAATAAATTTTTTACGGCTGTAATAGTTGATAGATTTGTAGAGAATTGCACGTGCCATGGCTATTTATAGTATCATATTGTCAGAAAGTTGGTCTCGGCACGGCGAATGTGTACGCTTCAGTGGTAGTCTCGAACTATCAGCGGTGGACTTTATTTCTGTAGAGCACATGGGCCACCCTATAAATTATAGCCGACTTCTTGTCAGTCTGCTTATATGTACGTGACTTCCGAGGCTCACAAAATAGACAGTGATAGTGATCCAATGGGGTTGCAATTTGATGTGATGATAGTAGCTACAATGTTTATTATTAATATCCGTAATTTTTATAACTCTAAATCAAAGTGGCACAAAGTTACACAAGAGCGTATAATTCTGAATTAGCATCAACACATTGTAAATGACCTAATAAAATCATGAGGCATCAGTCACTTGTCAACATCTTGGACAGGAATTTGTTGAGGGTTTGTATGTGTCTGTGTATTCCTCCTCTACAAAATGTCAAAATCTTTTTTTTTTCTTTTTATCTAACTTCACTTTTTTTTTCTTTTTTTTTACCAATTTGTATGCTGTCATATTATCAGAATTTGTGTTTTAAAATTTCTGGAGTTCTATAACAAGTGGACAAAATGAATGAGAGGGTAAGTTTTCATGCCTCCATGTTTTTTAGGTAACGGTGTGGTGATCAGCATGCATTAAATCTATTAGATGAAATGATAAAATTGATAAAAGTGATATAGGACATAATATAATGATAAATTTAGTTGCACACTCTACCAGGAACTAGGCTCCAAGACACTACTGAATGGATAATGTGTAGAACCGATCTCTGAGTATTGACTAACTGGCTTCTGCGTTAAAATATCCATCAGTCAAGTAGAAAAGCTTAATTGTGGTTACTATTCATGGAAACTCGTGAGAAATATACGTGTTGTCAGTAGTCGCTTAAACCCGTCACTACTTGCACCGTACGTCAGTATTCCTATAAATGGTCGGTAATAGTCATACGTTGAGTATTTAAGTGAAGTGTCAGTATGTAAAAATAACATGAGTAATAAGACAAACGTGAGTTAATCCAAACATATCACTAGTCAGGTGCGTGCGCGAGAACCTGGCAAACGCGTGACTAATTAAGAAAACGTCACCATTTCGGCAACTGTTGACTACCTGGGTGAAACCGCCGGTTATCTTTCATCTGCGTCAGTAACTGGAATCGACGTCAATAGAGTGTGAATTCATTAACTATATAAATTTCTGGTGAGTTTTTTAAATAAGTGATTAGTATCTGTTAAATCATCACTACATCCTGAATAAATGATTAATTATTTATTAATATTCTCGAATTGGGGGACAATTTGTTGCTGTAGTTTGCAAAAGAGACTGAAGATGGGCTAGACAGATAAATACCTTCATATTTAATTATGCATTTAAATGCTCAGTGGCAAGGTTTGATTCATCAAACTATTTGTACCCATTCCCGGTGGAAGTAAAACTCCAGGAACGAACTTACAATGGTTGCCCCTAATAGAATATTTGCTTAGGAGGGGCAGGCATTTGGATAATAAAAAAAAAAAAAAGAAAGAGAGAGAGAGAGATTTTTCATACAATCAGGGGCATCCAAGTTATGGTCTGAAATGCGCTAATATCATAATATGGACTGAGATATTTTGGATATATAGATATATTTTAAGTTTTAGTCAAAATCAGATAAAAATTGTGAGTCCACAACCTTGGTATTACATACTTTTATACTATTTGCGAATGAGGGGCGGCCTTTTTCTCTATCAGTTTCGGTCCGATTTTTACGAAATTCGAACTCATCCATTCTTAGGGTGTAACGGCGATATATTCCTACGGTTTCTTGAATCGGATAAAAATTGTGACCTCTATAGGGTCCACACGAAAACGCGATTTTTCGTACAATCAGGGGCCATAATTCAGGAAGTTATGGTCAGATATGACGGGTTTATGCGACTACTGACAACACGTATATTTCTCACAAGTTTCCATGAATAGTAACCACAATTAAGCTTTTCTACTTGACTGATGGATATTCTAACGCAGAAGCCAGTTATTAAAAGCTCTGACACCAGTTCTACACACTATGCATCTTGCCGTGAGAGCTACTTATCTTCTTGTTGTTCTTGTTTTCTTCTTTCTGAAACCGAGGCTCTTCCATCAAAATATAATACTAGAACTCCTAAGGAGTACTGATGTGTTTCGGTATGTCACATGTCACGTCACGTCACGCCTTATCACATCAACATTCAAGTTAAACCATGAATTATTGAGTATAGTAAAATCCAATACCTATTAGAGTGGAAAATGCTGTCATTTTGAACTCTTAATAATACCAGAAGTTATACTTTATGACCAAACTTTTTTATATTAATTGTTAGTAGACATCAGGGTCATCATACATACAAAGGTCAAGGGTCGTGGAAAGATTAGGTCACCATCTAGATCGAGAAAAGTCAAACAAACTTCAAAGTGAAACCGGAAGTAAACAAAATCGAAATTCAAAAATCGTCTCTCTAAAGATTGTTGCCATTTTGAACAGGTTCAATAGCGCAATACAATAAAAAGGTTTTCGAAAATCTGTATTAAGATGGCGGCTGAATATCGATTTGAATGTTTTTTTG